CGAGAGACTCTGTGAAGTTTGAGCACGTCTGGTAGAGATAAGAAGGAAAGAACGTAGAGCGAGATATCAGCGGATAGCCGGGGGAACATCGTTGTCTCAACGAGAGTTGTGTTATCAGCGATCTCCGCAGCATGATGGTTGCAACAAAGAGGTGAGCGTGTAGGATAAGGCCCAGAGGAACGCAATTGCCAGGCGTACCGAGCTGGCACGCGCGCTAAATAGTTTCTCCGACGCGTTCGGTTGGCCTGGCTGCCATATTCGGTCCTCGTTCAACTTGCATTGTCCTACCACTCAGTCTTTCATCGATTTTCGCGCACAGGCCGCGATGAGATCTGAGTCATATATCCGCCGAGCCGCTCGACGAGTCCCATATAAAGTGTGGGCATCTGGGGAGGGCAGCAAGCAACAATCCCCTCCACCATGGCGCAGCGCGATCGCTCTCGTACGCCACCTAACCCGCCGGGCCAGGCACCGACTAATATGACACCCAATCAACCTCAGTACGCTAGGACCGCACCACCAGACCTAGGTCTCAAGGCGTCACGAAGCATCGTTGTTGAAGACCTCAAGGAGTCGGTGCCATCGTACAGCGCCGACTACTTCTTCCAGGCCTATTTGCCTCCACTGGATCCCGACATAGACCTGGATGCCGTGCTGCAATACCTTGGCGACAATGGCCACATTACCTACAACCAACTTGATGCCTTCCGGCGTGTGTTGCCAGCTACCCGTCGCAAGGCGGCCGACGATATGTTCGCAGATCCTCACAAGACGGAGGATGTCGTGTTCGCACAGCTAGAGCCGCTTGCGGAGGCGGTGACGGCGGCGGTGAAGAGCGTCAGTGCCAATTCGAACAGAGAACCAACAGTGAGGTTCAAGTGTCGACTGACAAGTCCGCCCAAGTCTTCGGATCGAAGTAACACGTCGAAGCCCGACGCGTACGGTATACGGTCGGAGGCGCCACGCAATGGACGAGCGGAGTGGGTTGACATCGCGGTTCCTGGAGAGTTCAAGACGGCGGAAGGAGAGTCTAAGACACATGATGTACATCTGCACTTCAGGACCTCTTCCATACTGTCACTGATTGCGGATCCACGCTAGAATCGAGTCAAAGTGTTGTGGTCTTTGAATCACATCATGCGCGAGGATGCGCGTAGGAGATTCGTCATCGGCTTCACCATCGAGGGAGACCGTATGCGGCTGTGGTTCGCGAGCCGGTCAGAGGTGGTCGCGTCGTGGCCGTTCAATTTCATTATGGTGGGTCCTCATCTCGTCCTGCCCTATGTGCGAATAAACTCACATGTCCTGCTCGTGGTGTAGAACCCTCGGCGCTTCGTAGAGTTTCTGCTGCGAATCATGTACGCCGGTGAAGCCGATCTTGGCTGGGACACTACCATTCGGCGGCTCACCACTCCCGATGGACATACTCAGCTCGAGATCACCGTCAACAATAAGAAGTATCGAACACTGCGGCTGATATCGTCAATTGGCGCGGACAGCCTTCGAGGCCGCGGTACACGTGTCTGGGAGGTGGTGCAGGTCGACGGCGACGGCAACTTTGTCGCCGGGCCATTCGCGCTCAAGGACTCCTGGGTCGACTCTGATCGGGTTCGCGAATGGCAGATACTCCATAGAATCCGTGTCTCCGGCAGCAACGAACGCCACAACACTTGTTTTGAGAATCACCTGCCGCACATTTTGGAGCATTGGGATGTTCTCGTGAACGATAGTCCGGATGACACGCACAATACCATGAGGCGAGCTGTAGATGCCACGATCTCCACGCACAGGAGGGCGTTACCGGTCCTAATCAATCCGAGTGTACGGCAGAAGGTCATGAGCAAGCATCCGGCGGTGGGGGCTTTCAACATGCCGGAGGCCACGAAGCAGCCACTGGACTTCGCCGCGAAGACGCATCACCGCGTCGTATTCAAAGGGGTAGGCAAGAGTATCGTCGAAGTCGAGTCTATGGAAGAGGCATTTCGCCACCTGCGGAGAGCTGTACTAGGTGAATCGCCTTACATAAATGACCTCACCCCTTGTCTTACCGCCGCCCTTAGTCCTTTGCTGCCTGCACGAGTGTGGCTGGGTCCATCGAGATATCAGCTCTGGCAACATACTTGTCGTGGGCAAGAATGTGGTGATCAGCGATGTGGAGTATGCCAAACGCATGTCTGACACCACAGTGCATACCGGTGTTCGTACGGTGAGTAACGTTTTGTCCTCCGGTCTCATCCTGGAATGTCTAAACGCCAAGCAGGGTACGGCCTTTTTCATGCCGGTTGAAATTGACAACCACGGCTATCTCTTTGACAGCGAAGACGCAGCCGAGGACGACTCGCCTGTGGACTACGAGTTGGCCTTTGCTGAGCTCGAGCTGCCCACAGACCGGACTCCCTCAGCCTCCGCCACCCCACCAGCTATAATGCAAGTATCTATGAGTCTCGCACAAGACTCCCAACCGCAGCCTCCCCCGGCCCTTTTCCAACATAACTACCTCCACGACTTGGAGTCGCATCTGTGGCTTTCCTTATATGTGCTCATCTGTGGCAAGATTAGGGACTCGTTTCAAGATCGCCCCGAGGTCGACTTCAACGCATGTATGCAGCGTCACGGTGATCTTGCTGTAAACCTTTTCTGCGACAGAAGGTTCCGACTAGCGGTCATGACCAGCAGCAGCAAGCTCAAGACGGAACTCTGGGGCCTGCTGCCACAGATTATGGCCATAGCGCCGGAGCTGGATCAAGTTCGCACACTGATAGCCACGCGGTACAGGCAGTTTGAGCACGACCTCGGCACTGTCCATATGATGAACGCAACCGAAATGGGTTCTCTGTACGTCTCGATACACAAGAGGTTCGGCACGATGGTCAACCTCCTGAAGAACAACAACCTTCACGTCGTCGTCGATTCAACCCCATTCCCTTTCGAGGAGCGCATGCACCAGATACTAGAGGAGAACGCGATTAAGGACGCAGATGGTAGGGTCAAGCACGAGGCAAAGGCGGCTGATGACGACGACGACGACGAGCAGGCGCGGTCGCGCAAACGACCACGCGTTGTCGCGGATGCTTCCGCACCTTCGTCTGTTCTTCCCACTCACGACGTCTTCGGGCCCGTCCAACAGACAGGTTTCGGTGGGCCCTCGACCCGTTGAGCATATCAGCCTGGTCGCAACTGCGGTGAAAGGGCCCTTCAGTGGCCGATGTTTACTGCTCTGTTTCGGGCACCTGTTATTCTGATCGCGAAATGTAAGCGAAATGCCAGTATATGGCTACCATTGAGTCCTTGTTACGCCTGTCCCTTGTGTATACTAGACTGCTGTAGCCGTGTTGTCGTAATACATCTGCATCTTTGTACTCGCATTCAACGAAGGGTGATCTTTGATGGCATTGGTAGCGCATGTATGAATACAGGGATATGTAGTTATAAGCATATCCAAGCAAGCATTCATGTTCGTCTGCGAATTGGCGAAGCACGAAAATAGCCGTAAGCGAGTCAGCATCGTACAGCTCAGAGCGGATAGCTACCGCACGTATCTCTGCCGTTCAAGTTCGCATGCCGTCCCGTCCGCTCTCGGGGCATACGCCGATGCCCCGCCCCGCCCCGCCCCGCTCGTCCTGATACATTTGCACGGCATCCCACACCAGCAAAAGCCCTGTCGTGTGCATCTGCGCGTTTCCAAGCACGGCGCCGTAGAGCGACGCGAGCTCGCGGGGATACGGGAGCCGCATGCGAAGCTGCGTGTCTCAGAAAGGACCAGCTGGATTTGTCCGCAATGCATCCACTTGCGCTCGACTCAGCTAGGACACTGTGCGAGTAAGAGGTACGATGCTTACGGAATCCTTTCCGTATTTTGAGGCCTCTGACCAGTCGCCTTAGACAATTACATCCTCATGAGCAAAGAGCACGTCTAGAGATACGAGCGTTGACGTTGAATGACGACGAGTTGGTGGCGAATAAGCGGCAGTTTCATCGTGGTTTAACAAGACGAGAACGTCCCGTCGAGAGGAATATTGCTAGGCGCCAATATTGAATACTTCTGACAAGTCAACCTCGCTTGCTTGCAGCCACATTCTATGTCTAACACCTCAACACAGCATTAATCTTCATGGATGTGCGTGCGTGGCGGTGGTTAACGCAGGAATATAGGGAGTGGTGTGAGTCATCATCTCGAATCATTGCCTCGCTGCGCTGCTCATACTTTTCCTTCAGGCAGGGAATCCAGGCCGTTTTCCACGTTCATCTGTTCTTGGGAGCAGCTCCCTCGTGAGCTACAAGACTGCATACATGACACACTGGAGAGCATTAATGACAAAACGGTCTCAACGCTCTCCATGGTTTCGAAAGCCTGGGCTCGACGTCTTCGCCCTCATCTCTTCACCCGGCTTAGCCTGGAGAGTGAGGAGGATTGTCGTATGCTCTATGGTATATTGCGATCTCCGCTATCCGCTTGGCTTGCAGAGTACGTCACGACGCTGTTATTCAGCATTGATGGCTACCCTTCCCGTCCACTCTGGATGGCGCTCCTTCGTCTTTTGCCGGCGTGCCGCACTGTCCAGCACATCCCTATCAAACCCTCTGGACGTTTGCTACATAGCGCAGCTATGAAAAGGTCGTTTCGGAACGTCACCTGGCTGTATCTGCGCCACTGCAACTTCTCGTCGTTCCGAATAGTGCTTCGGGTACTGGCGGATATCACTCACCTAGACACCGTCATACTCGAATACGTCACATGGTTGGGTGAACCCCCTGCGACAGCCGATGCTGCGACCAATATCTGCTCTGGCTCATTTAGCTATATCCGTGTAATCGAGCAGTGGGACTGCACAGACAACATCGCGGTAGCTGCTTGGATCCTAGCAGCCACAAGCACCCGACACTCGTTCACCCGAGGTCGAACCACAGGGCCAGCGATTCCTGCCGAGACGTGGGCCGTCGTCAGATTCGTCCAGATCTTCTTGCAAAGTGGCGACTCAATTAGACGGACTTCGTTTGAAGTCATTAAAGGAATCCGAGGTGAGATTCACTTGCCACTCTTCCAGGGCGCCGTCATATTTACAAGGTGTTCACAAGGTGCTTATATGTTCACCGGTTCTTTGAGAAGTTTCCCTTTGGTTGGGGAACCGATAATCGCAAATATCTTGGTCCAGGTCGCTAGGTCCGCACCTTCCGACAACAGCAATGAGACTTGGTCTGTTCGCAGAATTGCCCTCGCCGACACGGAAGATGACAAGTCGCCCCCATACTTTCAGTCTCTCAATTGGCCCGCAATTACATCCCTTCTACCTTGTTACCCACGGTTGGAACACTTTCAGGTCCTTTGTGGAGAGGAGCATGCAGCAGAAGACTTTCGCGTGCTCTCTGACAAGGTCATGGAGGCTGTGAATCACCACCGAGCTGTCACGATCGAACACGGCCCCGAACTGCCGGATGGGAGGTTCCTGGAGCCAATGCTGTTTGGTCTTACTGAAAGAGATCTGGCAAGGACGCGACAATCCAAGGTGTGACTGGGAGCCTGATTCTATTGCATGTTGCTGAGAGATCCGTTTATGCAGAGCCAGCGGCGAAACGATGGGTGCCGGCCCTGTTCAGTAGCTGAAAAGCCAAAATGAGGGGTTTGACTGTCCAGCATCTTGTTCCGGTTTTGTCATATTTATGCAAGACGTCTCCGATACGCTGTCGGGCCGTCCCCTTCTGATAGAGATCGGGTTTCCGAGGGCGAGCTCGAGTGCCATCTCGCGACATTGGAGAGGTGGTCTCTTCAGGCGACGACCAGTATTATTGGGCCTGTCTCAAGAAATACAAAGATGCGGACCCAGCATGCTGGGAAAACTTCTTGCCACAAGAATATTTAACTTCGTCAGAAGAGACAAACATGAGCTGCGGCGCACTTGATACCGAGGCCCTTTCCTCACACTACCGGCGATGCTCTATGTTGTGTTGTATCCCCCGAAGACGTTTTATGTGGGGGGAATGAGGTTGTTCAACGTGATAAAGCACTCTGAAGTGTTGCATGATCGAGTCCTTTGTGGCGATGCGATATTTGAGGCTAGTAGTTGCCGCCTTTCTCGGGTCATGCCAAGCATTTCAAGTACTAATGGTCCATTTTCTCCGCACCCTACAGCATCGTCGATCGTACGTATACCTTACAATGCCTACGCAGCAAGCTTGTGGCCGAGCCCTGACTTCAAATCAACAATCTCTTCAATGACCCGCATCGCCAGGCCCGGAGGCAGCACTGAACCCAAAGCTTGACGTGGCGGAGACGGAGTGCGTGGCGTCCATCTGGAAGTCGTTACTCTGGTTATATATTGGCGTCACGACGCTGATGGTGTGGTCCATCGATGCCCAGTGGTGGCCGGACCCGTCCGCATTGGCATGACAACTGATAGCGTCGTTACCAACCCTCTTCGCGGCGGCGAAGGCGGCATTGCTGCCTGGTGCCGCTGCCGCCGCTTTGTCATTGGATGGGTGGATGCTTAGGTGGCGCTCCATGTGCCCACGAAGGGAGCTCCAGGCAATGGTCTTGACGGTGCAGGGTTTGAAGGGGCAGTGCAGGTAACTACCGACGGCGATTAATTAGCTTAGGCCTTGCTATGTAGCGGGCAAGTTGGCTTACTTTCTGTCATCTCCGTGAAGGTCGCGCAGTCTATGATTATCCCGGACATGATCGAGATAATACTGTCCGTTTAGAGCAACGAAAGGGCAAGATGGGAAGTAGTCTGCGCAAGAGACCGCTTTCTCTTTGGCCTGGAGTACACGCATCGTGAGTGCGAAAACCATGCGCGAATTTGTCTACTTACGTCAATCACAGGCCATATATCAGTGTAATCCCCGTCTGACATGGTTCACTGTATTTCCTCTGGGCAGCGACCTGGTTGTGTTTGGGCTTGAAGGAACGTGGAAGTAAGAGAGAAAGGTGCGTGCGTCTGCTTGGCATCCTTGATCAGCAATTCGTCTGTAAGCCTTGTCCACGGACAGGAGCTGTCTAGAAATTGCACTGCCACTTCATTGCTTCCGGAGGCGATGCGCACAGTAGCTCCCGGCCGTGCAGATGATTAGGCGGCAGAGACGATCTGTCGGTCTCATTGACGGCTCGACTCGGATGCAATTGGGTATCTGATCATGGATACTTACGGGCAGTACAGGAAATTGACCAATATTACAGCCTTGAATATCAACCGACGCTATCACTGACGCTCTAGTCCTGCCGCAAATGCAGTGCTCTGGCATTTGATACATAGCCTACCTCCCTGATATTTTCAGCTTCGATGTTGTGTGCTCTGCTGCCTCGTAGGTACTGTCATGTACTGTGCACACACCCGCGCCTTCCACAGAGCGGGAGCAAGTGTGCGCCTATACCATTCATGTCCGGGCTGTTTGCGTTATCAGACAATTGCAGGAATCAGACTCCTCAACTTCAGAGAGACTATGCCCGTCGAATGACATTACTATCTCTTGTCTGTGTTGGTATTTTGAGCCGAGCATTTGATTTCTAGTCACAAATAATTATATTAACATATGGCATACAACCAGCCGTAGGAATGGAATTTGCTCTGATAGTCCGGAGTATGTGGAGAGGTATTAAGCCTTACAGCGGGCGAAAGTCTCTGAAGGCAGTCCATATCTTACTAGTAGGTGGGGAGCTGGTCCGGAGACTGCTCCGCGGCATCAAGCGCAGGCATGTCCGGGATCATCCATCCCTCCAACCACCTCTTCTGTGAAATCGTATAAAGTGACCACGACGTCCTGGCCGAATCCCCTGAGATCCTGCTCTACGGCGACAAACCCCTGGCCGAGCGCAGTCCCGATGCCGCCAAATTTCCCGCCGGACGCGGTCGACCTCGTCGGAGTCCTTGAGCCCGTCGAACCCGCCGAAGTCGTTATCAATGTATGCGACGGCGCCAGGTGTGACCGCGGCGAGGCTCTCCGCGTCCCTTTCGAGCTTGTCAACGACGCCACGCCTCTTGGGTGGTGACGGGCTGTTTGTTGGGAATGCGCCACTGCTGGGCCACTCCGGGTCGCCGTACATTGGCGACGGCTGGGACAGCCCTGGGGCGTACGGGTCGGAATTGAAAGCCTGCATATCTGGAAAGCCGTATTCTGAACACTGCTCGCGGTCGCTGGGTCCGAATGCAGTCCCGGGCGGTGGCTGCTGCTCGTGGTGGGCTGGGCTATACGAAGTCGCTGGCGGAGCTGATGTCGCATTCGCAGGCCCGCTGTGTGTCCAGGCGTGGATCTCAGTGCGACTGTTTGGAGCATTATGGATATAGTCGAATCTTTCATCGTGCGACTGCTGTGGCGTAGAGTGGCGGGAGGAGCAGAGCCTATGTAGCTAGACGGCGTTGCAGACGTGTGGTAATAATCAGTGCGATGGTCAGCAATCTGGAAAACTGAGGCACTCACCCAGGATCTAAAGGACTGCATTTTCGTGGAGATTCGAATATTCAAGGATACAGATAAAGGTAGCGAGCTTAGGAAGGCAGATTTTATACTGCTCCAAGGGACGCTCGTAATAAGATCTCCGTGGCATGCTTTCCAGATCCTTCCTGCGAGAATCGCCAGGTGTTAGAGACATGTACCAAGTGAGCGAGGCACAACTTACTTAGTTTCTTCGGAGACATTTTGACCCAAAGGGATTCGCGGCTCGAGCTTCTCCAGGATGGTCACGGCAAGTATGTCGCGTCGCTCGCACTGCCAGTAGAGGGTGCAGAGGGACATTAATCCGGTCCTGTAGGAGAACTGCGTTTTCTTCCTTGCTGTCTTCAGGGCGGTATCTCTTTGCGAGGGCGAGCAGCTGCTGCTTTACATCAGAGTTGTCGAGAACCTCTGCTTCAAAATAGCCGTAGCAGCGCGGTATACTGACTCATTGGAGGCATTCCATCTCGTCGTAAAACCAGGCCTCGCGGACGAGTGAGATAACGCGATTTATGCGTGCGGCTTTGACCACCAGAGGAGGGATGATGGTCTCGGAGCTCGCACCAGACAGCTGGGCGTCTATGAGATCGAAGACGATACTCGAGTGGCCATGACCAAGATAATCTCCTAGAGAAGCACGTAGGTATGCGTCTTCTGTAGGAGGCAATTGGAAGGGACGGCGCTCCGGCATGTCAATAAGAAACAGCTCGGTCCCACAAGGATTGCGATACATGAATCGAATAAGGTCCGGCGGGACGTCTCTACGCTGAAATCGGGCCGTGAGCGAGCCCGACCGGGGATCTTTTGATGAAGGAAAGAGGCCAGTAAGAGCAACGGCTGCGATCGCATTCAACAGCTATGTGCCCGTGGTCAGAGTGTGATACAAAATGCCGCTCTGGAAAGCGAACATACCAGTGGTAGTGGTGGCTGGAGGTAAGCAAGGTAAGCGCCTTCAAGCCTCCGCCAGCTGTCGCTGCAGAGGCAGGAGCAGATCCTCAGGTGGAGGCTGGGCCATTTGTGCCCAAACGAGGCCAGGGCCGGCGACAAACTCCAGCTTGCGGTTCACCTACTGCTCCCAGAGCATAATGAGTAACTAGTACTAGGCTCAGAGGAATAGGCCCGATTGTTCTCGCCTGTAATGATCTATGCCCCTTCCATACGCCACTTCGCCCCGTCTGTACACTAGTATGCGAATTGCGTTCAATGATTATTTGCATTCGATTCTGAGCGACCGGAAGAACAGTTTATAAGCTGCTCATTTCTACGAGATCGAGGCGATGCGTGCACGAGCAGTGCTGAGGCTCGAGAACTCTTTGCCACCAAGGAAGATCATCGCGTTGCTCTATTTCTGTCAAATTTCTGAGTCATTTGCACGAAATCCGGACATGAAGTGAAACAAAAACCCGATATTACTTGCTCCTATCGAGGCAAATACGGCTAGCGTTCAGGCTAAATCCCTGCCTCGAGCTCTCGAGCTTATTTCAGAGTGGGTCCTTGGGGTGAGATGGTCTTGACACGCCATACCGGGTTTCCTAGGCGGCAGGGCCACGGCGTTACTGCATGATAACGCCGTATCCCTATCTTCGACGAGAGACTCTCGCCACAGCTCTTTCATGCCGGGGAATGTGGCGACGTCGAAGATGATCGCTGCCAGCATGGTGATGTTCAAATGCAGCATACAATGGGTTGCGCTCTGCTCAAAGATCAGCAACGTCCGGTAATCTGTGAAAATGAACCTGCAGGGCGTGTCCTGAGCACTATCGATCGCAAACCCAACGACAGGTCTGTATTCAAGATGACCAATCAGCCTCAGCACAAACTCGCCTTGACAAAACCAGTGTGGCACCAGCTATCGACACCGGGCCCGTGTCGAGGTGGTGACTGCGTGTGCTGGCGCGACATGACGTGTTCGACGCGTAAACAGATCCTTGTACAGCGGTTAACGTTCATTACGTTTCGGTCCGCCAGGCACGTATTCGCGCACATGAAGGCACATGAGAATGCACAAGTGACCGGACCTCGAAGGCGAGGAGCTACATCGCGAGCCCGGAAAGAACCGGTAGGTGTATGCGCTGTGAGTGCGGTTGAAGGTTATGCCAGGGATATATTGACCGTGCAAGAAAGACATTAACGAACTGAAGCCGTACAGAGCTGGACGAATCGACAATGGTCAAACTACGGAACTAGGCATATAGCGTAGACGCAAACACGACACTGGGCGCACACAGGGTCAAAGCAGTCACGAGACCGTTATGCCTGTTGCTTAGCCTTCCATTCCTTGATCGCTTGCCTGGCCCGGTCGACGTGGGGCTGGGAAACGATGTAAGAAACAGATAGCACGGTGGGCGAGTGCGACGCACCTGCTTATCGCCATCAGACATGCCTCGCCATACCTCGCCTGCGTGCTTGGCAACGTCTCGCGCAGGCAGATCAGGATTCTCTGTAGCATAGCGTTGCCGGAAGGTCTCATTGAACCAACTGTGGCCCGCACGTGAGCGACAAGCTTCGGGCGCTTACAAGGAGAAAGAAAACGGGCGACGCACGCGACGAAAGGAGGGGCTGGCTGCCCTGAGTTTTTGCTCTTGCGCCTCAGTCTGCTAGCGTTGGGATCACGGGCGGTCCTGCGGCGATTGAGCTCGTTGAGAATCTTGCGGTCGACGGTGGTGAAGTACTCGTTGCGACGCTTGGCATACTCCACTCGGGCAGCGGCAGACTCGTCGCGGAAGGGCTGCTTCTCGGCCTCGGACATGGCGCGCCATGTGCTGGATGCTTCTTTGATTACTTCATGGGTTTCATCGAGCGACTTGATCCCGCGGCCTGCCATATATCTCTTCCAGAAGAGGAGCCAAGGACCCGCCGGCATCTTGGGCGGCCTGTCCTCGGGGCGAATGGTGAGGCCTGCGAGTACGACGTGTTCAGTTGCGTGCTACGCGCGCAAGGTAGACAACGCACGCTTTGGCTTCGGCGGCGCCTTCTCCTTCTTTGCTTTAGGCTCCGCTTTGGGCTTAGCAGCCTTCGTCGGCTTTTTGACCGTCTTCGTGGACTTGGTCGCGGTAGTGTTGGGCTTGTCGAGTGCCTTCTTTGTCTTGGGCGCGCTCGCAGTCGTCGTCGCCTTCGCCTTCGCCGCCGGGAAGGCAAGCTGAGGGGTCGTGAGGAACGTACGTGTCAAGGCAGTCTGCGACGCGACGAGCGGTGCACGCGACCTCAGCAACGTCGGCGCCGCGAGCGTTGGCAGTCTGAACGCAACTCTTTGCGCGAGTACCGAGAGCATTGTAGGTGGACGTCGAAAGTAAAGAACTCAAAGTTGATATTTCTCGCCAGGAGTCTTGTTGTTTGCCCGTATTTGGCGTCGCACTCGTGGCCCTAACCCTGTAACGCGTTCGCGCCCGATCGGACCCTAACCCCAGGACCGCTTCACCCGCCTCGAGCTTGCATCTCATTCATCTCTTCCTCACAGCTACAATGTCGCAGATTCCGCCTTTGAATCAGCCTTCTATGACTCTACCGACGCTACAGCCTGCATCTCTTCCCATCGCGCAACTCGAGTCTCTTCGTTCGAAGATCAACTCCATGGTCGAATCCATCCAGACATTACAAGCGACTATTGATCAGCAGGGGCAGAATGCCATGCCTTCCTGGCCAGACATACTGTCGAAATACACGATACTTCTCTCGCAGTCGCACAACCTGTCCATGTCTCTCGTCGGTACGGCCGCTGCCGTGAGGCCCGTGAATGGACACGGCGGGACGCATGCGCCAGTGAACCCTTACGAAAGGCTCGCGTTGCACCCGAGCATGCCTATGACCGATCACCAACTCGACAATGATCTCATTCCTCTTCTGCGCGGCCAGCAGACTACGGACGTGCTCAAGCTCGAGAACGACACGGTCCGGCACCTCGCGGAGCACATGTCCACCCGCGGCTCGCTTGGTGTGCTGGGCCTGACGGGCACAGGCACAGGCACGGGTACGAACAACACTGCACGCCCTCGGTTCGGCGCACAGGACAAGAAACCCGAGTATGCAGACATCCTACGCGAATGCGATCAGATCAAGGTTGAACACGACGAGCGCGTTGACCGAGCGGTGCGTGCTGTCACACTGCTTCGCGAGAAGTTCGACTGGAAAGCGCGTGTGGAAGTCGAGAATGAGGAGCCGGAGGAGCTAGATTGGAACCCACTGGACGACGTAGGCGGTGCTGAGACACATGCAGACGAGGACGTCGAGATGAACGTAGATGGCGGTGCACAGACAGGAGACGAGGGGAGGGAAGATGAAAGCAACGAGAGCGAGGAAGAAGAGGAATTGGAGGAGGTGCTTGGTAATGGTGCTGATAATAGCTCTCCTATCGGGACGCCGCAAGCTTTCGCGATGAACGAAGATGTCCCACCAGAATTTTGAGGTGCAGCAGGGTCGGAGGATAGACCATCAGTGCGTTTACATAATGCGCCAGAGCTTCTATGTGCTCAGCTCGCTCTGAACTAAAGTAACATATGCTAGAGCACCAATATATTTAATATACATTACACGCCAGCGAACAAGCAAATACCATGCTCTAAGGTCTCATCAGTTCTATCCAGCAAAAAGACACGCGCAAAATCCGTGTGGTTCTTACAAACTTGCCAAATGTGTAGAGAAGATCTCCGCCCCATGCGCGATCGACGCCCAGCCTTGTCATGTGGTCTCTCGGGACCATGAGGACATTCGTGTGCGCCTCTTGAATGACTTGCATCGAACCTTCACACCGGCAGACCTTGAGAGGGGAGGGCCACAAAGATCAAGTGAGAAAATATTGCACGCTCCGTGAAAATTTTCTGAAGAACCTGGCTGGTAGAATGCCGCGCGTTTCTCAAAAAGAAACATCAACTCCACAAGCAGAAATCGTCGAGCTGCGGGAAGTGCATCGTACGCAGTCCAGGACGGATGCGAGGCTGGCTGTTCAGAATGCAGTGGATCGGGTCATCAACAGGGTCGAGAAGTTTGACGACATGTCCTACGCACGTATTGGACTGATTCTTTTCAGGTAAGTGCGAGAGCGGTGCAAAAACATCGTGTACGCGCTCATGGCAACGAAATTGCAGTCTGGGATTGTGCACATTTCTGTACGCTTTCGGTGAGTACAGGTAACTCAACGCAAACCCTGCGTCTGATATCCGTTTAGAGCAAACTATCGTCAGCACCGCGGCTTCCGATATCGGTGCAGGTGTCAAGGCGAAGGGCTCACTGACGTGGATCACTACCTCGTATCTGCTCACCACCACCGTCTTTCAGCCCTTAACGGGTCGACTCTCTGTATGTAGTTTCAACTTTTTTCTGCAGCTTCTTTTTGATCAAAAACATAAAGGATGTGTTCGGCACAAAACGCATGCTGGTGTGTGAAGTCTGGGTGTTCATCGTTGGAAATATCATTGCCGGCACATCGCGCTCCCTATCGCAGCTTGTTGCGGGGAGAATGGTTGCAGGCGTCGGTGGTGCAGGGCTACTCTCGCTGTGTACTATCATTGTGAGCCGTAAGTATTCACAGCTTATACTACACTCACGAGACTACTCATGCGCTGCCCTCCTGTAGAGCTGACTAATGAGAGACAAAGGAGCACGTATCTCAACCTAATCAATGCGGTATTCATCATTGCGGACTCGCTTGGTCCGATTCTCGGCGGACTGCTAGCCAAGTCTGGCAACTGGCGATGGATGTAAGTGCTCGCGTGTCCACGCTTCCCGGTAGTCCCTGATCAACTGTTGGGACAGCTTCCTTCTGAACGCGCCAATTGGCCCCCTCAGTGAGTACGTATCCTCACTGTAGCGCAAAACCATCCAACCAGCTCCGTCCAGTTACGGCCATCTTTATCTACTCGGTGCACATCCCGGCACCCTCACATGCCACTAATATTCGCACAGCGAATAGGTCCTTGGACCTGTTCGGCATGGGCTTCCTCGTCTCTTGGCTAACTCTGCTCATCGTCGCGCTGAACCTTGCGGGTGACGCATACACTTGGAACTCGCCCGTCATTATTGGCCTTTTCGCCGGCACTGGTATTGCATTCCTAGCCTTCGTCATCGCGGAGAACAAAACGACTCATCCGGTCGTGCCCATGAAGCTTTTCGTGCGTTGGAAGTATAGGAACGTGCCGATCATAACAAGTAGGTTTTATACTTGCTATCTTTCGCGTCTGAGCTGATAGCTTTATAACGCAGTTGCTCGCACTCTACTTTTCTTCCACCTTTTTGCAACTGTAGGTGGATTTGATACGCGCTCTCTAACCCTTGCTAATAGCATCCACCAGACGTTCTACGTCCCCATATTCCTTCAGGTCATCGGGCACTCCTCGACACTGGCGGCCGCACTCGTCATTCCGTTCCTATTCACGGCGGCGCTCGCCAGCTCGTTTACCAACTATTACGCGTCGAAGACGGATATCATTCGTCCGCCGTTCTGGATCGGGCTTGCGATTCTCCCCATAGGCATGGTAAGCGCGGCCTTCCTCTGTTCGGACGATGCATTCCACTGACAAACCACCAGGGGCTGATGACGACGCTGCATGAGGGCAGCAGCATTGGACAGGTTGTCGCGTACACCATCGTCAGTGGGATCGGCTTCGGCTCGGTGGGTATATGCTGGCTATATGCGCTTCCTCGAGGCTAACTCACCTCGCAGGGCACTATCGTAACGATGGTCATCCCCCAAGCAGGACTGCCCAACGACCTCCTCCCGACCGTGACAGCCTTCATCTCCGCTCTCCCGAACCTCGGCGGCGTCCTCGGTGTAGGCATCATCGGCACAGGTACGCTAGCCCCTTCCACACTTTCATCACTCCTAACAAGGCCCGCTCCCGCGCCAGTCATTAACAATCGCTTCCGCGCGAGCATCGCGCCATTCGCCTCGGGTTATGCCCTTGCGCACATCAATGACGCCGTTGCCGCGGCGCACGACCCGCTCATTGGCGCGCGCGTCGTTGCCGCATACGTCGGCGCTTTCCAGCTCGGGTACCGCATCCTAACCGGCGTGGCCGTCTTCCAGCTCGTGCTGTGTCTTGGCTTGGGGCGCGTGGTTCTTGACGCGAACGAAGGCGCCCCCGCGGCAAGCATGGGCCCGACAGACCAGGAGCGACCAGACACTGCAGAGGTCAAGGATAAGAATGCTATTGGAGAGCTAGGTGCTGCGTGCATTGTACAGGAGGTTGACAAGGACAAGGAGATGGAGAACCGTGAGGCTAAGTACCTTGATGAAAATTGTATGAGACAGAGGAAACGATGTGGCTCCGGGTAGAGATAGCGATAAATAGACATGACAGACATGATACGAAGAGAGACCCATCCAAGCCTTGTGCTGAGAATTACGCCCAAGGATTGTGCCTTTGGAGCTCATCATAATTGTCCACGACAATCTGCGCATGCGCGGGTGGCGTCTCTGCGCGCGTGACGGCCATGTCCTCAACGGCCGTCCCCTCAGTCTCCAAGACCGCATCGACGTCCTCGCCGACGGCGAACGGGCTGTGCGCCTCACCGTGCGCGTCTACTTCCACTTCGCCACGCTTCGGTCCATCTTCGTCCTGCACGACATACCCGCGGCGGTACACCTTGCGCAGGCCCTGCGGCTCGCCGCGCCGGCGCTCGTGCGCCGACTCCTCGTGCGCCGCGTGTGAGTCCTCGACGACGAGGTCGACCGCGTCCGGCGGGAGCGCCGTGCGCTCGTCCTCCCTGTGCGGCGACGCCTTGGATGACGGCGGGGGCCGGGGGCGGCTGTGCGGGCTGCTCGCAGCCGACGACGGGTCCGACGAACCCGCAGAGGACGGCGCCGAGCCCGCGCCCGAGCCGGGGCCAGCGACCCTGCCCTGGTTCGAGAGCGTGCGTATCCGTGGCGACCGCGCGGGCGAGTGGCCGCCGAGCTTCGTCCAGCGGAGATGCACGTCGTCCGGCGCGTGCGCCGGGTCCGTAGCCGCGAGGCGGTCCGTCTCCTTATCGATGACGACCTGACGCACGGGCGGCGTGTCCGTGCGCTGCGGCGCCTTTCCTCGTGCACGCTCGCTGTCGGAGAGGTCAGACGTGGTGCGGCTGCGCCTGCCGGCCCCGACAGCGCCGTAGCCGCGCTTGGCGCTTGGCCCCAGGATGGAGGAAAAGTACGCGCCGCGTTCGTCCCGCAGGATGCGCTCTTCTTCGGTCCATATGCGCATGCGCGCCGATTCGTTGCTAACGTCGACGACCGGGTAGTTGTAGTCTCCGAAGAGCAGCTTCTGCGCCTGCCGGAAGAGCTCCTCGTCCTCGGGGTCGATGTCGGAGAAGGGTAAATCGTAGCCTTCGTTCGCGGGGTCCGAGAAGTTGTATAACGTCGTGTCTTCGTCTGATGGCGATTGCAGATCGGGCGCAAGGTGGACGACGTGCTGTGCTTGCTGCGGAAGAAGCGGAGCATGAACCTCTTCGCCCTGGTCGTCACGGCCAGTCACTCGCTCGATGGCCTTGTTGACCCTTCTCTCCATCGCTCCTGGTGGTTTGGTAGACGTGATTGGCTGAGGCAGCCAGTATTTGCGCTTTCCGCCCTGACTGTAGCGCAAACCAGCACGAATGCGCCGATCCCGCCCAGCGCCTTGGTGCATGAAGCCCTCGCTCGGCTCAAACTCGCGATAATCCATGCCTTCGCCACGAAGCGTAGTCTTGGTATCTTCCACGACGTCTTTCAAGCTAAACGCATCTCGTAAAGCGTGCCACATGGGCATCCGCGCGGCATATTTGGCGTGCGGGTCGATGTAGTCCACAGTCGAGAAAGCATACTGGTGGGCAATCGCGAAGAGGGGCATCTCGATGCATACAAGGGCGTCCGTGAGCGCAAGCGAGATGTGCTCACTATCTGTATATGGCCCCAGCTTGGTAATGACACCGGCAGCGACGAGAATGGAGATGAAGATGGACTGCCAGAAGGAGAAGAACAAAATGCCCTTAACACAGAGAAATTTCGGCATAGGTCTAGTCGCGACAAAGTTAAATAGTGCCGTCAAGTAAGAACAGACCGCGCACCTAAAGGGCTTGAGATCGTCGTTTACGCACATCCAGAATATGGCCAAGCAGTATAATGCCATACATATACTGATGTTGTATACTATACTGACGTAGAGGTAGCCAGAATTTGCTCGTAGGGCACCTTCGTTATACTTCCCGACTGCTTTCAGGATGATGGTGACCATGGCCAAAACAGGTTTGACCTGGACATACTCTGTGGTAGTCATCGTCAGTGAACAGAAGGCATGCTTAAGTTTGAGACTTACGAATGATACCCCGCTTCAAGAAGAGGAACGTATACGGATCGCTGACGTCAACTTCTGGCCAGAATAAGTTTCCAGGAAAGACGGGATACTTCGGAGGGCGGCCATGCAGTGATATCATGAGGGAACGTTCTCCCCCTAGATATTGGAGAAGGAGATCGAAAAAGCAGTAGATGACGAATGCCTTAGAGTGTGGAGTCAATCAAATGCAGCTCGGAGACGAAAGACTCGTGGAGATCCCGGGCAATGGCTGGCATACGCACAGACCTGGCCGAGCTACTGTTGTAAGCTGGGCCATTCAATGCCTTTGCTGAGACAGTGTGATCCCTGTA